GTTGACTTCATTCTTCAAGGAAGCTCGCTCTTTCATGTCAGTCATTGTGGATCCCAAACTCCTCCTCCTCTACTTTCCATTAGCATATCTCACTTAAGAATGTAGCACTCAATTCAATGATTGGTGAAAGGTTTGCTCATCTCTCTCAAAAGAATGTCGCAAGTACAGCTCTAAGTACCATATGCTTGCCCCTCATGTAGATCACCACTAATGTAAGCTCACTCGGCTTCAAATTACGTAGGACTTTTTCGGAATGCAATGAAGGCTTTTGGACTAAGGTTGGATATGTTATGATAGAACGGGTTCATCTTTTCTTAAGCACTCCATTTTCTCTTATCGGCTCATATTTTGCCAACTCTTTGAGGCGTTTTCTTTTCCTTAGGGGAACTAGAGAGACTTAACATCACTCTTTCTTGATCATGCTATTCATTTTCTCCTTCTTTGCTTTCTCAATTGTTTGCATCATTACTTTTCTTTGAATCCCTTCAACTCTTCAACTTATTCACTTTCTTTTTGCATTTTTCTTTTTGTTCTTTCTTTCTTTTTCTTGCCTTTCCTTCTCTTTATTTCTTTTTCTCTTTTTTGTGCCTTTATACCTTTTCAAACTCCTCGTCTCTCCCCCAAACTTATGTTTTTAGCCAATTATTTCTCAAGAGTGTTAAGGAAATCTCGGGTGCCAAGAGAGGGTCACAACAAAATGGGTAAAGGCTTGTAACATGGTTATCAAATGAGAAAGGTTTTTAGGCTCAAATGGGTTGACTAGGGATAACAATATTGGTGGGCCATGGAAAATTTCAAGCGGGTCAAGGGGAGCCTACAATCACTTCTCAAGCCAAGCAAAACTTAAAGTTTCACCTCAAAACACATGCGGGGCAAGTTCTAGACCATTCACACGGGTACTTGAACTTGCAACAAAAATATCTCACCTCTCACACAGCTGGATTGTTAAAGAGAATAGAGTCGAGGGCCCACAAAGACCATATTCAAGATTGAAAATCACTATGGTTCGACTAAACCACTCGATGATTGCTTAAGTCAACACAAGAGTCAGAAGGTCACTAACTAGAGCTATTTATTTCCAAAAAACTTGTTTTTAATCATAAGCACGTAGTTAAGTGTGTTGGTACCAAGTGAAGCATGTTTGACTCTTCGAGCCTGACTCAATTAGGTCTTTTAATTCATTATTACTACTATTCTTACCTAAACACCAAAAACGGACTCAATCCCTTAAGAAGGTTGTTACGCCATCCATCGTTGGGAAGAGTCACCCGGTTCACACAAAAACTACCTTTGAAAAGAACTGTGACATTAAAAAAATCAAAGGCTTATTGTCCACTAAAACATAAAAAGAAGCTACTGGACTAAAAAGAAGTTATTAGATAAACAAGAAGCTACTAAATTAAACATTGACTAATAAGAAAACAGAATAAAGAAGCTACAAAGCAAACTACTAAAAGCATAATGAATATACATAATGAGAAACGAAAAGAGAGAATATATGCATCAATAGAGAGAGGGGGAGAGGAGGGAATATATACATGATAAAGAGAAAGAAGAAAATATTGTCAGTTATTATAAACCAAATGTCTAGAAATCATCCAAATAGCAAATAAACTCCACCCCCCTCCCCCCCCCCCCCCCGTAAAAATAAGCATTGTCCACAATGCTTAACAAAATAAGAATTTAGAAGGGTAGGAGTGAAGAGGACTCCCTATGTGGCCTTGAAAATCTCCGTGTCCATAGCAGTGTCACCGCCCTCAGTCTCCTATAACTGGATCTCATCATCCTCGGCTCTGAGAGTAACTGGGTGGGTGAACATCTGGTGCACCGCCAGCAGTGTCGGCAGCCAGGTCTGGCTCCTCAGACTGGCCAGCTGGTGCCACTGGAGCTGATGGTGCTGCTGGATCTACTGGTGCTGCTGGATATGTCTCCATCAGCATATCAAATGGGAGATCACCAGTTGATGCTATCCTGGTCACCTCTCTTCTCAGTCTGTCCACTGATTTCTTGGATGCCTAGGATTTCTTTATCTTCTTTACCTGCTTCCCAAGCTCCTCAATCACTACTCCATGTGCTACCAATGTGTTCATGATGGTGAGCTGGTTCTCCAAGATCTTCTTCAATGTATCCTCTATTGTCGGAGGAATCTGGGGTGTCGGGGTGGATGACTGTGCTGCAACAGCACTAGATATGTCAGACAGCTTTGCAGTGGTTGTCTTCATCCAGTTGTTGAGGCTCTCTAGTGTCTGGGAGACTCGCAGCGCAGATAGTGGATGAGTGGGCATGGGCACCTACTTCAAAGCCGAGGTGGACGGCGCTAATGCTGAAGGATCTGAAGAAAGAGGTGGAAGCATAGCTGCTGTACTGGCAGAAGGCACGACCGAAGTGGAAGGCATACTTGCTGACTCTGTAGCTACCACCGAAGGTTCATCAGACTGGCCTACGGTAGTAGTCGGCTGACCCTTTTTCTTTGGGTTCCTCGAGTCCATCAGAGAATACCGAGAGAAGGGCTTCTTTTCCAGAACCTTTATGTCAAAATCCCTCGGCTCCACCCCCACATCCGTAAGGCACTCAGTAATAGTGTTGGGATACGGGTAGGAGGTGTCAGCTTTCCCGGTGACTACAGACATGTTGGCAATATCACAGCACCCATATTGATTGGGTACCCGACCATGATAGAGGCGACTAGCACTGCCCGCTGAATAGGAAGATTTGTTTCATTCTGGCACGGGTCTAGTCTGCTGCATACGAAAGTTTTCCATCCCTTTGCCTCGAAGTTCAGGGTGTTCCTGTGAATAGGAACCCCTACTGTGATCCATGGTGGTGGTGGACCCGGGGCTGCTGGAATCTCAGCTAGCCATGGGTGAGCTGCATCTCCCATAGCCAGCTTTTCCAAGTACTGCACCGGCTCAACATCCTCAAACCCCAAGTAGGTATTTAAGGCGTTCTGGTCAAATCTCACCTTCAGGTTCCTCACTTTTGTCACCATGGTCCCTTTCTTTATGTGCGCCACATTGGCGTAGAATTCACGGACCAGATATTCTTGGCGTCAATTACACTCTGGGTGAACCACATCCCCCCCTTCCGCTCTCGGAACTGTCTCAAAACTGCCGGATTATACTTGTCAAAATCTTTCAATAGGAATTGTCGCGATCTCACCGGCCACCACTTTCGGAAGCTAGTGAAGGTAGCTATACTGACGAATCTATCTTTCTAAATTTCTTTCTTCTTCGACCTCTCAAGGCCGGCAACTTTGGTATCACCCCTCGGCCATCATCTGGGATATCATCCACATCCACTGTAGTAGCTGGCGCGTCGGGGGCAGGTGTAGATGAGGCTCTGAAGCCTGACTGTCACCTTCCGAACCCTCGAAAGTGCTCTCAGAGGTGGAAGGCTTGTCTCGGAGTTGAAATATCCCCTGAAGCTGCTGTGGCTGTGATTGAACAGCAGGCTGCTCTTGCACTGAGTCGCCCTCCGATGCTTCCCTAGACGGGACATAAGAGCTTGATTCGGCTGGCTCTGCAGCTCTACCCCGGCCGGTTGTCGCCTTTTTAGATATAGCTCTTTGAAGGGCGAGGGGTAAGGTACTCTAGCCTCGGCCATGGGAAGGTTCATCCCTCCCCTTTGATGTATCACTATGACCACGTGATTTAACCATTTTCTGCAACTAACAACAGCAGGAGTCAGTTCTAAATCAAGTGCAAATGAACAGAAAGTCATAGAACAACACATGTTTCAACATGGGGAAGTGCGGTCCGCACAAATGCAAGTGCGACCACAGGTTGGGTTATGCAGACCGCATAATTTTAAAGTGCGCCGCATTGATGAAATTGCGGTCCGCACAATTTTGAGTGCGACCTCTGAATTGAAGTGTGGTCCACACATTTCTTAGTGCGACCGCACTATGAGTACCTCAAAGTAGCAACTCTCTTAAGACAGAGATATGCATGATCTGCGGCCGCACACACTTTTCTGTAGTCGTGGTTGAATATCTGCGGACCGCATAATTTTAAGTGCGGTCTGCACAATCTTGCCTCACCAACAGCCCTAATCTATACTTCTGCGGACCGCACATTTCAAAATTAAATCGGGCAGAGTCTTTTAGGTTTTCAATTTTATGCACAAATTGGACATGGTAGTAGCAATTAAACATGATAAACAAGATACCAATTCCCCAAATTGCAGTTAGGAGTTTACCCAAAACAATTTACACCCCACATGGATATAAAATTGACTTCTAGTAACAATTGGTCTAAACTAACCTAAAAGAAAAAATTGTAAATTAAACTAGAAAATTGAAAAGTTCTATGAGAAATTGATCATACCAGATATGAACGAGTGCAACTAACTGATAACAGATGTGTGTAGAGTGTGGCAGATGATCGAACAGAAAATTTCAAAGTGTTAGAGTTTAGAGTGCTCAGAGAGGGAAAACCTTGTACATTAGCCCAAGGCTACTATTTATACTAGCAGGCAGACGTTGGAAAAACAAAGGAAGAGTGCGGCCGCAGAATTCCTTCTGCGGTCCGCACTCCGTTACTTGGAGGCTCAGCTGCCTTGATGATCTGCGGTATGCACATATTGTGGTGCGACCGCAGAGTTTGACTGCGGACCACATAATTTGGTGTGCGGCCGCAGAATGTCTAGTTCTCTGACAGATCAAACTTCAGAGAGTTTGTATTTTCCCCATTCAGTTTGTGAGGCTGCAGTTGCCTTCTACTGTAGCATCTAAAATCGTGTGGTCCGTACTTTTTCTATACTTAGCCAATTTTTCTGAGCACAATTCGTTTAAAGTACACTCATTCCTGCAGCACTCTTCAAATTCAGTTAGCACAAAATAAGACCTATCTAAAGAAGAAGAAAAGAAAAGAAAAAAAAAATTGACTAGTAGCAATTAAAACCGGGAAAACAAACAATTTGAGTCTAGTAGCAGATTCGCTTAGGCTGAAACGACACCGCACCTTGCGTTTCGCAACCACCGAATCCTTCATAGTCCGTATATAGCTTGTAGTATAAATAGCAAAGCTTGTTCATTTGTTCCTCACTCACTGACAGTAGCGTTCTTCGGAAGCTCGAATATCTAGAGAAAGAGCATATTCACCAAGGTATCTTTTGTATCAAATATCAATTCTTCAACTAGCTTTGATTCATTCAATTACTTGTATATTTCAATCAATTTGAAAATCAAAGACATATCTCACATTTCTGTAAGCAGATCTCGTCTGATTTGTTTATGCATTTAGTTAGATGGCATGTCGAAAGGCCGATCCAACATGCATATATTATATTTCCACCGGGTTTTAGATCCTGGATCAGTATGAGTGCTATTAACACTGAACACAAGTGCATTCGTAGTTTATGATTCTGCATACTATCCGTTTGATTTGATGCGGTTAATTTTAAAGTGAGATATTTTTTGTTTAAATCTTTTAAGTTTTTAGAGTAGACTGATGTTGAAGTATAATTGAATTTGATCAACCAAATTCTGAAGCCAAGTTTAATGGATAGTCAAGTTGATAATCGGGATCTAAGTAATGGGGCGATCTGAGCTTTTGTTTGTTTGGTTGTGAATTCAGTTTATGCTAGAACCATCAGTTGTTGCTTGAAGTGCCCATTGGTGGATCAAGCGCCTCCACTAGTTTTGACTCAGCCTAAGATATCTATAGTTGCATAGGTGTAAAAAGATTTTTATTCATATTAAGTTTGAACTCATTACTACAGTATACAAAGAAGCGTGCCAGGGGCTGATGTAGGCTTTTTAAGATATGGGTTCGGCAGAATCTAGTTGAGAAATTCACTAAATATTGTACAAAAGTTAAATTCAGAACTCAATTACTAGCATTTGAGGTCGTTGTCCTAGAATCCCAAACCCTTAAAGTTCAAATTTTGGATATGCCTTTGGACTGTGCAGTGATACAACCATTGCATAGACGTGCCTGTAGTCATTTCTAATTGTCTTGATTGACTTGGATTTTTGTTACAAAAGTGGTTATCAACAACTGATTCTTTTTACGTTGTGGTTGCTCTTTGCGGTAATTTACTCTTAATGGCATTCATTTTTGCCTTTATCTTAATAAATTCAGATTTTTCATTTTTTTGGTCATTATCCCAATTGGTTGGCTTGGCATCTAAGTGTGTAGTTTTTGATAACTTCTGCAAATTCTTTTGACTATATGTTGATGCTACCCATCCTTAGCTTCAACAATAAGAGAAGTTTTACGTCTTATTATCTTTAAGCATCATTATTATCAAGGCTTTCCGCTATAGCTGGATAAATTACTGGATTAATAAGTGATCTATTTCCATGTAAATGTACTTCCTTAGGATTTTAACTTTTATGTTGCTATAAACTGATGCAGTAAAGCAGAAGAATGGAAGGCACAGTCTTCGCCCCTGCTTTAGAAGGAATCAAACATGTCAAGTCTGAGGAAGGAGTAATGCTTACCAAACCTTTCTTAGATGTCTGCAAACACATCTTACCCATTATAGGTACTATATCTGGTGCTTTTACTTGGGGTTTATAATCTGTTCTCCTGTGTTTCATTTGACATCCAAGTGCTTCACTGATCCCCTTTGCTTTGACTTCTTCATGACTAGTCAAATGTAAACAAAAAAAATTAGTATGGTATTTTAATTTTATGAAGAGTCTTGCTTAAGCTTCTTCGTAGTGCTGATATTTCATTCTCAAGATCAGATACTCTGGATAAGCTCCTTCCTTTTTTTCTTTTGCTTTGTCAATCTAATGCTTGATGTTAATTTTCCCAATAAAATCCAGTTATGATATTGATCAAATTTCACCATAACCCTCTTATAATTTATGAAAGAAATTAGGGTGTCGCAATATCTACCTTATGATGTTTCAATCTTGGCAAGTATGATATTGATGGCAGTTAAACATTAAAAAGAAGTATAATATGATGGCATTTGCATTTTTGACCACCTGAGCTTTCAAGATGAAGCTCGAAGAAGCTGATATGGTAAACCATAAAGGTGGTTTTTGGTTAAAAAAAATTTGAAGTACAGTTTCAACCAAAAAAATTCAATTTTTTCCAAAAGTTGTTTTAGAACCTAATACCAAGAAAGAATAGCTTTTTAGCTTTTGCAGAACTGTAGAACTTTACAAACCTCTAAAACTTTTTCTTTCTTGGTATTTGGCTGAAAAACATTTTTTTGCTTAAGATAAAAGTTAGAAAATTTGATTTTTTTCTTTCCAAAACAAGTCTTTTTTGGTTAAAATTTTGAAGCAAACGCCAAGCTGGAAACTCCTTTTACTCGTAAATGTTAGTTGCAATTTAAACTTGGGAATAGAATTTTATGCAGGCTCTTCCTTACGGAAAATGTAATGGTAATTTGTCAAAGTATATTCTTTTCTTCTCTCTTCTATGTTGCATAAAGCTTTACCCCGTGTCAGTTTCCTTTGTAAAGCATGCTGAAAACTCATGCTTTGTCAGTTTTGTCTTCTACATCTCAAAAGCATGCTGGAAGCATGTTAACTGATTATCCCTTTGTTTTAATCCAAATCTAGAGAAGTTTGGAGCTGCCATGGCATTGGTCAAGTCTGATATTGGTGGAAATATAACGGTCAGTCTCCCATTGCCAATTATCTGAACATTTCCAGATGTTTTGCTTGCTTATTTTCTTTTGCTCAAATTCTACCTGCTAATACTCGGTAATATTGCTTTTGAGTTTGGAGTTCACAACATTTCTTCTAGTAAAGTCTCTTTTCTTCCTCTCATGCTCCCTCATTAATTAATTCATTTAATTTCGGGGATTCCGGATAATATTCTCTTTTGATCCTTCTCTCTACCACTTGCCTTCCCTGAATGAACAGGAAAGCCATGTTAGAATAATTGTTTCCAGGAATCCAGCGTGTCTGAATTAATGGCCTTTTATCACAGTTTGTAGAGTAGTTATCTTGAGAACAATGAGTTTATTTGGCCAGGCAACTGAACTAGCTCGACCTTGGTTTTTAACTTCCTATACTATGGAAATACATATTCTTAGGCACTTTATCCTTGAACCATGCCATGCAAATGGTTTCTATTCACTTATCTTGCTGCATGGTGCAAGAAGAGGTTGAAGGAAACCCAGTCGATCTTTCTTTTTCTGTTTTTGAAATTGGTAGATGCTTCATTTCTAAAATCTGGTATTGAATATTGATGCTGCAGAGGTTAGAAAACAAGTACTTGTCAAACCCAACAAAATATACGAATTTGTACAGCATGGTGCAAGAAGAGGTTGAAGCGAAGACAGCAAAAGGCTCTTCCAGTTGCACAAATGGTCTTCTTTGGTTGACAAGGTTGAGAATAATTCTCCATCTCATTTTACATGATCTCTTTTGTGGTAGTTATTCATCTCCTCGATGATGTCTTTTCCCATGCTCAGAGTTTACTCATACAAATCACTCAGCAGCATCCATGTCCAAATTCTCACATGCATGCTGTTCTACAATGCATTAGAATTCTGGTCAACTGAATTACAATTAAAAGAATCTGTCATTATGTCTTTAGGGCTATGGATTTCTTGGTGGAGCTGTTTAGGAATTTACTGGAGCATGGGGACTGGGCGATGTCACAAGCTTGCTCTGATTCTTACAGCAAGACCTTGAAAAAGTTTCATGGATGGTTAGCGAGTTCAAGTTTTTCGGTAACTGTTTCATATGCCCTGAACTTCGCTGCTAGTGCTATTGATCTGGAACAGTTGCATCTTTTCCCATACTTCTTTCCATGCAAACTATGAGACTCTACTTTTCTCTGGTCTTGGAATGTGGTTGCTACTATTGATCTTTGCAGAAGAAAATCCATGTTGGGTTATTTGGTTTTCCAGTTACCAATATTATCTGCTTAACCGGTATATTCTTTTCTTCTGTAATAGTTTTAAGATCTGTCATAGGCAGTCAAATGCACAATTTAGCTTCAGTATTGTTTCCTACTATATGAATGTTAGTCTAAGCCCAGTGACCTTATATGCTGCTGCTGACTAATGGTGTGAACTGCACTTTACTGATATATTATATAGGGGAAAATACTTTGATCTTTCTGCCATCCTCCTTTTTCTCTATATTTCCTCTCATATTCATGTTGGATTAGTTATTCTATAAAATGCTTTCTTCTCTTGTCGACTCGGACGTTTTTTATTTCGCGCTTGAGAGGAAGTCGCAGTTTACTTTACTTTTTTTTTTTGCTTTCACTCTGTTATTAAAATTTAAACTGAAGTATGACCAACCAGCCAGACATCTGTTTCTGTTTATTGCTATTTTTGAAGTTGAACTCTCTCTCCCTCTCTCTCTCTCTCTCTCTCTCTCTCTCTCTCTCTCTCTCTCTCTCTCTCTCTCTCTCTAACAACACTGGATTGTAATTACAGGTGGCAATGAAGCTCGCTCCAGATAGGAAGAAATTTATGGATGTAATATGTGGGACTGGTGATATTGACAGTGACATTGGACAGTTCTGTACTACTTTCTCACCGCTTCTCGAAGAGAACCACAAGTTCTTGGTAAGATTTTTTATTGGCGGATATTCATCAGATAGATGCTTGGATTTTTTCCTGGGCTTACATTATTGTAGTTGTTCTTTCCCACCCCCACCTAAAGAACGAAAAGAAAAAAGAACTTGCTCCACTTTCCGACACATTGATCTTTTAGATGTTCCTGGATCCGCTTCCAGGGGTGGAGCTAGAGTATGCCTACGGGTTCAGACCGACTGAGTAGCTTTTCCTGTATTTATATTAGGAAATTCATTAAGTATGTATAAATATTTAATTGTGAACCAATAACTAAGAGGAGATATAGGTTCGATGGTAAGTTCAAAACAAACTCGATGGTAAGTTCAAAACAAACTTCTCAAATCGGTATAGCTAGTTGTCTTCAATTTTCACTGCAGGACTGATTAACTAGTGGAATAGCTGAAGGGCCTCTAGTATCATGTTTTCTTGCATTTCAATCCAGGGAATATAAACGGTGACAGTAAAATTTGTTTACCATTGTTGCCATTGCAGGCCAGCGTAGGAATGGATGATCTGAAAGCATCTTAAGTCTAAAGGAAGTTTGCAACTCAGTTGAGATTCATCCACACTGTGAGAAACTTCTGAAACAACCATACTTCTGCTTTATCCTGTTGTACCATGAGTAGATATAGCATCAGACATGAACTTTCTTGTCGGAGGACATTGGTTTGTAACTTAAAATTGAAGGAACTGGATTGAGGGCAATAAGTAATTCTGGAGAATAGTGTTTTGACTCAAATATTTAATTTCATTTTCCAGATCATGATCACCTCTTGTGATTTTACATGTTTAAGGACTTCAAGTGAATGTATCGTTCAGTAAAGTATTATTACCGCATAGTTCTATTCATTCGTGTAAATTACAAGTTTGCTGTCCTATTTCAACATATTAAGATTGTACAGCTACTTATAGAAAAATACAAACCCATATATGGCTAAAGTAACCAATACTTAAGGGTGTAGCCTAGCGACCAATGTAGCGGGTAAAGTGAACTATGGGAAAAATTTCAAAATTTTCAATTCCAGCAGAGACAGTTCTGGTGGGTATAGTTACTCGGTACTTGAGCTGGTGAGAGGTAGCACGCATTCTATGAAATAGTCAGATGTATGCAAGTTAGTTTGGACACCACCGTCTAAAGGAAACTAAAATAATGATATCACAATTTCCGTATTAAATAAACTTCTCGAGCCTAACCAATGAAGGCATAGGATTATAGGATGGATTAAGATTGCCAAAACATTGTTAATTGATCTATTATTGTTATTATTATTATTATTATTATTATTATTATTATTATTATTATTATTATTATTGTTCCTTTTAACTCTGCCTAAATTATAACACAAACGCAGGGGTGGCCCTTCCATAAAGCAAGTAAAGCAACCGCTTTAGGCCTCATATTTGTGGGGGCCTCATTTTTTGTTGCACCTAATAGACTGTGTATACGTCTAAAAAAGAGTTCCGTAAAGTGAAAAAGTTTGATTTCCTTCTAATAAATATAGAGAAGAAAGATTTGCAACTGCTATGATTTCTACTAAGGAAATTGCACTTAAAATGAATATTGAACCCGAATTTCGTAAGAAACGTGTGATATATAGGAAGTAACAATTTGATGCAAATGTTGATAATGAAATCTCAAAATCTTTCGAAGAGTCCTTTAGAGTTAATTACTTTTATACATAATAGACAAGGTTATTTTTTCACTTCAAAATAGATTTGAACAATTCGAAGCATATGAAAATATTTTTGATTTGCTATTTGGCAGTAAAAACTAAAATCACTAGATGTTGGAAATTTGAAAAAATATTGCCTTAATCTTGAATGTTCCTTAAAGCATAATAATCAATTCGATATTGACGGTTTAGATTTATTTTCTGAATTAGAAGTGTTGAGAAAAATAGTACAATTAGAAGATAACAGTTTAATTGATACACTTATCAAATAAAAAGATCTAATTCTTTTCCAAATGCCTAAATTACTTATGGAATAATGTTCATAACTCAAGTTACCATTGCTTCAGCGGAAAGAAGTTTTCAAAATTAAAATTGATAAAATCTTACCTAAGAACAACAATGTCACAAGAAAGGTTAAGTGGATTAGCTATAATGTCAATTGAGAAATACTTATTAGGAGTTATTGATTATAAGAAAATTAAATAACTTTGTATCTAAGAAAAACTTAAAAAAAATAGACTTCAAATAAATAATAATAAAAAATTAAAAAGTTAAGGCCCCTCATAAAGTTTGGCTTTAGGTCACAAAATTTGTCGGGCCGCCCCTGCACAAACGGGTAGGATTAGAATTATAGCCTAATGGTCGAAATTCCACCTTTACCCTTTAATATTTTATTTGCAGCATTTGATCCGACAAAAATTGACAACAAAATTAAAATCAAAAGACCAAAGAATTTAGGGAAATTAGAAGCTATGTCCATTTATAAGTAGCTCATTACAAAAATTGGCCAATTGATAAAATATTACTAATATTAGCCAATTAGCTATTTGTAGCAAAAAAATATTAAATTTTTGCTTTGTTTTGAGTGGGTGTTATTAGAATAGATTGGGCACAACTTAAGGAGCTTGAATCTCATTTTTGGGATGATTTGCTGAAGTTTTGAGGTGGTTTGAATTGAAAATTCGAAGTAAAAGCTGAACATGAAAAAAAATGATACGTGTATCATTTGTGTATCACATATGTATCATATTTGTATCAATTGTGTATCGCGTGTATATCCATGTATACCTGTGTGTGAGATACATGTGTGATACATGTTTGATACATGTGTCGCAGAAGACTTTTTTGAACTCGATTTCATTAAGAATTTTGATACAAAACTAGTCCAAATCACCTCCAGTCTTCCTCAAATTTTGTATATTGACTTATCTATATATTTTCAATGAATTTCAACTATACCCATTGAAAAAGTTCCTGTTTTGTTTAGATTTTTGGAATATTGTATAGATCTTATATTTTATCACCTTATTTGCTACCCCGTCCATGAAATTTTCTTTCCGTCTTGTATCTAATGTTGCTAATCACGCTTAAAAATATGGAAGGTGATTTTTACATGTGATTCTTTGATAGAAAGAACCCTATTATTTGGATTTTTAATTTTTATTGGCTAGTTTTGATAAGTCTATGACTAATGGCTAGAGGTTGTTAAATTGAGATTTATATGGGACATTTGTGTAAGTTTCCCAAGAATTTATAGAGGCGAAACTGAAAATTAATGAGTTTTCTTTATTAAATGAAAAGGAACAAAATTTGTTTCTAATCCCTAAATATACGACATGTGTCTGGTTAGTAATGTCCAGCAATTCATTGCCATTAAATGGATGAAAGAAACGCTTTAACAGCATTTTGCGTTGTGATTCATTAGAGAGGAGTCAAACCTAAAAATTTTGAGGGTTTGAGTCCATTTTCTTGAAATTATTTTTTATTTTTGAGTTTCTGTATCCAAATTCAAAGTTCTTTCGTTAATTCTGAATAATACTAAATTCTCCTTTGCATGAATTGCTAAATCTACGAGTTTCATTTACTTTCTTCCTTTCTACTGAAGAAAGGTTTGTAAATCTTAAGACCTAAAAGCAAAAATTGGCAGCTGAGGATGTCTACGAAGGTGAAAGGCCTTCTAAAAGGCCTTCATTACATTTCTCAAATATTTGGTGAGGAATGATCATTCATTCTATCAGTTTTTTCATTTTTCTCCACCTTTATTTTGTTGGAAATGTTTATCGGATAAGGAGGATTGCAATAGATTGACTATAATTACAAAACTATTTTAACTGTGATGAATTATGTTAATACAAAATGAACATAGTGTAATCAAATAAAGAGAATTTATATCCGATTCCCAGACTGAGAATACTTTTACCTCCTTAGTGGACCTATTCGACGTGAATCAGAACTAATTGGGTCAAGAAGCTTCATATATCAGATGGTTAAATCGGGAAAACAAAATGCTGATATAGTGTTGTGAGATTGTTAGAATTTTACGCTCACCCCATCACCAATCTATACACAATATACATACACGTATTTATATATAAAATTATTATTATTTGTATGTTGGTGCAGATGAGGAGAAAGAAAAAGAAATGCAGATTGGTTTTCCCACAGATGTAAAGCATGTTGCCCATATAGGATGGGATGGACCATCAACAGATAATCCAAGCTGGGTAATAATTCTTTTTCAACTTAGGAATAGGGTCGGTATATAGGTACATATCGCTTAAATCGAAAGTAATAAATTCAATTGAAATCACAGAATTGACCTGAGATCCGCTTTGGCTTACATGTTATTGTGGTAAAATGTGCAGATGAAAGAATTCAATGGACCAGGACAATTTCAGTCAGCTCCTTTGGTTCCTCCAGGAGATCATAAAGAGAATCCTGAAATAAAATGGGTTTCTGAAGGTTTGTCAACCCTTCACTTATGCTATCACCTTTAATCCAATTAATACCTGCTCTGAACAATTCATTATATCCAAATAAGTACGCTTAGCAAAGGCAGACTGGTGCACAAAGTATCCCTCATTCACCGTTCACGCAGGATCCAAGGAAGGACACTCCAAGAGTATGACATAAACAACCTATCCTAATGCAAGCATTAGTGGCTACTTCCACGGCTCGAATCTGTAATCTAAAGGTCACACGGAAACTATTTTATCGTTGCTCCAACCTCCAAGGCTCCCCTTCAAGTATGCTTAGTAAAATATTCCTAGCAGAGATATTGCTTGTGAGGGGGCATGATGGGTTATTTATTTAATAACGCCTGCATGGAGCTTGTTTAAGTCATGGAATATTTGCTATACATTCTACTAGTAAAAATATCAAATAATTTTGCCGACCAAAATTTAGGTAGATAAAAAGAAATCAGTTGTTTTTTATCTCGGCCAAATTAGATTTCTCGTCTCTTAGAGATCATCCTACTTCATTTGTCAGTGTCACGAAAAAGTGGTAGCAACAATACTCGATGGCCTATGATTATGCCCGTGCATGGATTGCATGTTTCTATTATAATTCATTCTGATCCGAGCAATATAATGAAATTGCAGATTCAAACCGAAGGTCCAGAAATGCAAATTCTGCTTCCGCCGGAGATCAATCAGAACAACCACCAAAGTCATCACGGCGTCATTCTTCTAAAGAAAACGGTGGCACTGATTGTCCCAAGAGAGAGTCTTCCAAGTCCCGGCGACACCGTCGGAAAGACTCTACTGACGGTTCCAAACACGGCCGACAAGTCAACCTAGATTCAGCTGCCGGTTCCGAATCTCCGGCGAGAGACATCCCGGACATCCCTAAAAAGTCACGGCGGAAGAAGTCCAAGGAATCCGTCCCCGGCGGTTCTGCTGCCGGATCCCGATCGTCGAAGTCTAAAGGCACTTCTTCTTCTAGTACAGCACCACCATCGGATCACGGGTCGAGACCCGACAAGGGATCTGAAGCGTCAATACAGGATACGAGAAACAGTGAAGGCATCATTTCATAACAAAACACAAGAAAAAAAATAAAATAAAAAATGTAGTACTCAAATGCGTTTTATCTTTTCTCTTTTTTGATAGCTTAGTACTCCATACATGTTTGGAAACCTCAACAAGTTGTATTTACGTGTTCATAGACTATGTACGATTTAACCTTTACATACCTTGTTCTTTATACAGATTCTTTTTTTAATGTAAAATCTCTTTTTAGAATATAGGGAAGGGAAAGATGTTAAATCTTATATATGTATATTTTGTTTATTTAAAACACAACAAAAAGAACTACAATCTAGTGAATTCCCACAAGTAGAGTTTGGGGAGGGCAGTGCGTACGCAGACCTTACCCCTACCTGGAGAGATTATTTTAAACACTACAAAATCTTAAATACATTGCACTAATGAGTGTTCATCTATATATACACACACTTCCAATATTAGAACATGTTCTTGTGAAAGATAGCTAATACTACTGTTGCATTAATCCAGGTGTGTGAAAGCTGGGTCAGAATACCAATGATATATTAATAGAAGGAAGCACCAAGATTATTCCAAGTCTTAGCAAAAAGTGAAGTTCAGTGTTTTATTGTAAAATCAAGAATTGCACATTTCAGATCTTTCTTGGCAAAAAAGGGAGCCAACCAAAAGGCTTACAAATTAGAATTATAACAAATTTTGTTACTGTATCTTTTTTGTTCTTTCAACTAGGCTAAGGCTTTGACAGCTTTTTCAGCCGCATCATCTAAATCCTCGGCAGTTATCAATGTCATGCCACTTTCCTGCACAAAGACAAACCAGGGAAGAAAGTAATTACTACTTGAAACTGGAGCAAATTTCATGCCCAGAGGACAAAGTTCGCAATTTACCTTCAGAATTCTCTTCCCTTGTTCAACATTGGTGCCTTCCAGACGAACAACCACAGGCACTTTCAGTTGAACCTTAACCACAAACACATAAGAATCAGCACACTACGCACAGAGACTAATTGCAGAAGGATAAAGTTGAACCATTAACACTTTTTTGGGTTAATAAGTAGAACCATCGACACAATTATCCTTTTAACATTTCTTTGTTTTCGTTTCTCCATATCTTTTCTTTCATAAAGGAATGGGGCGAGAAGTGAAACTTTTAGAGCGAACAGAATAGAATTCTTACTCAAAAGGAACAGAGAGGTGAGTAGAGGAGGTGTCAGATAAATGGGACAAAACAGAGAGAACTTGTTGGGCAAACAAAACCCTCACATAATCAGAGAAAAAACAATACTAACCTGTTTGGCAGCATTAACAATACCACTGGCTATCACATCACACTTCATTATTCCTCCAAAGATGTTCACCAAAATTGCTTTCACCTTCTCATCTGCAGTCAAAATTTTGAAGGCCTCCACAACCTACTCCAGGTACAAGAGAGAAATTCAACTTTTTGTGGACTCCAAAGCTTTCAACATTTTAACACATCATTAAGACAAAAAATGAGACTTCACTCTAAAAAGACACTTGTTCAGTTCTAACAAAAAGAAAAGCTGGAAAATGCAAATGAGCAACAAAAACAACTGTTCTTCACATGTATTATCAAGAAACCATGTATACCTGGCCTTCAGTAGCATTTCCACCCACATCTAGAAAATTGGCTGGAGTTCCCCCATGGAGCTTAATTATATCCATGGTAGCCATTGCCAATCCAGCACCATTAACCATGCAACCAATTTCTCCATCCAAGCCAATATAATTTAAATCCGCTTTGGCAGCAGCAACCTGAGGAGTTAACCAGGGTAGACTGAAAGCTTGTACATAGTTGCATCGAGGATGAAAGGTTAGCGCTTCAGTGACATTCAAATAAAGAAAGCTTAAGGAATACCTCACGAGGGTCCTCTTGTGAAGAATCACGAAGAGAAAAGATTTCCTTCTGACGGTAAGCAGCATTATCATCAAAATTGAGCTTTGCATCTGCAGCTACCAGCTTGTTATCAGATGTTTCCGCAAGGGGGTTGATCTGCCCAGACAAAAAGTCTAAATTTAGGTATAAATAGGAAGAAATTTTTTTCCTAATGCCATGCTTGCTAAAAACTATTAACCTCTGGAACATTTAGCTAAGTCTCTTGAAGGTGCTTCTGAACAAATGATGAAAATGCTCACCTCTAACATTGTGCAGTCAGATTCACAGAAAAGTTGGTATAACTTTTTCACTTGTTCAATTGAATCGTTTCTGTCAGCTACTTTTGGAGCCAAACCATCAACAACCTTTGCAGCATCTTCATCACTGATTCCTTTGAAAACATCAATTGGAACCTGGAAAATACAGATATAGAGAACGTTTATCAGTTGACAACGATAGCATCAAAAGAAATTCCTAAAGCTTGGATGAATATTGAAAGAAAAAGTTAAACCTTTATAATCATGTCGGGGAATTTTTCTGCGAGGTCTTCAATGCTGGTTCCACCCTTTCGACAAGCAATAATGAGCTGCAATAAAGAAAGCAACAGCAAGCAGCTTCACAGCCTTAGATCAACTAAAAATTTAAATGTGATTTCGGATATCCAATACATGATCAAGATTACTAATAAAGTACAACAACTTTGGGTTAGGCTTTCAGGCCCCAACACCTTCCCCATAAACATTCAATTAATGAGGGAACTCTATTTGAATAAGTTGTTTCCAGGATTATAGAATTACTCTTAAAAGTTGAAGAATTGACATTTTGCCTGACCTTCATAGAACATAAAAAATTATGAAAGCAGACGAGTTCTCTAATTACCAATCAGATGCTTTCATAAGGTCGTCCTAACGCCAAGGTGAATAGCAAGTATACCTTATAATTGTTCAATTAGAAATAAGAGTGAATTCTTTCAAAGAATCCAAACTCGTTCATGTCTAGACATCAAGGTCATTCGAATCAGCACTAAATAAGGACACAAGCATGATTACTGTTAGCTGCACGAATCAGTTAAGCAACATTGAGCTACTCCACTCATAGAACAGACACTAGACACTGCAGTACATGTTTCTAATTTGGGTTTCATTCAATAGAATCAATACATTCGGGGCAGATACTCTTCTTTTAGACCAGGACATTGGAAAGATACTCGTGCAATCAATCACAAATGAATTACTACTTAAGAGAACATTGAAAACAAAGACTAATATAGGTGGACAGAGAAACTCCTTCATTTTCCTCTTCTTTCACTCCTTTTCTCCTTTAATCTCTTTTGGGGGTATCACAGGGTGTGATGAAAATTTATAAATAAAAAGTGAGGTTGGCGGGACACTGGACAGGGATATAAATTCTGAATATATGTTAACAATATTTAAGTGGGCACTTCAATAACAATATTTAAGTGGGCACTGAAGTGCCCCGGCAAGTTTTGGAACTTACAGGACCAGCAGTTGCACGATCAAGTATGATTGAAAAGTACATTTCATTAACCAAGGACATCTTTTCACATAGGTAAACCTGCAATCAATTAGGTAACAGAGCATCAGAAAATCTGTGTATCTTACTGAGTGCTGATAGTAGAATTAGAGTATCATCATTTGATCACAATCAGTAATTACGAGTTTCTGATAAAATTAAATGAACTTGTAATTATCATCATCAACAAATGACATCACTTAAAATGCCTTTGAAGAAAAAAAATGTCAATAAAAAATCCAAACCTTGCTGACAACTTTCCCTTGAGCTCCAGTTTGTTTAGTAACAAGTATCTGTCCAAGCATTTTAGCTGAAACCAAAAGGCATTGACAATTTGTTCATTAAAAAAATATGTAAAACCATAACAAAGAAAAAAAAGTAACTTGACAGTGGTAATAATAAACTATAGGGACAGGAAAAGCATATCCTAGCAAGAATAAAAATGTTATGGCCTATTAAAATCCTGCAAAACAATTTTGATTTTGCCCATTTCAAAAGTCCAGCAAACTCCTTTAGGATAGAAAGCACATGTCCTTAAGGCCTTCAGTGCCCTCTCCCACCCGGGACAAATTGAAGGTCCATCTCTTAACTAGTTTTCCGTTTCAACCAAAGATGCCCATAGATCAGTGTCAAATACAAGGATAAACGAACATCAGAAGCACAAATGCCACCAGAAAAGTTTAAAACTATATAATTGAGCCCCAACAGCAAAATAATGCTATGGCTGCTGAAGAACCTCTTAAGATCTCAAGAGTAGTGTTCCTAGCTGCTTTGCATGAAAAAATTATTATCAAGTCGAGCACAGTCGTCCGTTCATTTCCGACAAGCAACATCATGCTAGATATCTCGGACAGTTGACAAAACCTAATGATACAACTATAACTCGCACAGAAGCAACTTCATTTCATTCCCGTTAATGAAATTATTCTACAAAAATCTAGTAGAGGATGATCTTCAGTACCGGCAATCTCTTCAGCCTGATCAACCTTGACAATATGAACACCACCCTGAAATCCATTTTTGAACGTTCCAAGGCCACGTCCACCGGCAAGGACTTGTGATTTAACAACCACCTGCATCACCAAAAGCGAAAATTAGAAAGCATTTACCTTACCCTTAGCTGTAGCAAGGAGATCAGATTTTACAACAGATACTGCTTTTTGAATTACCTCGTTTTGGTTGGGGAACACGTCTTGAATTGCTTTTTTCACTTCACTAAGGGAAGCAACAGCAACACCTTTCGGCACATTGATCCCATATTTGCCCATCAACTCAGCTCCCTAATATCATATCAAGCAAAACTTCAAAACCATATATCATGAAAAATCTGCACCATTAGTTGATGATAAAAAGTTCCACACTGCATTTTCAGAACTGTGGCGAATATGATATGTTAGTAGTGGCCGGTAGGCTTGAACTTTATATATCTATACTTGAACAATAAAAAAATAAGGATTTAAGTTATATGCAGCGACAGCGTATATGAAATTTTACTCCATCACTACAATTTAACTGGTTATAGTAGGTTATCAGTTTATTTCTCAAGTTGCTATATCAGGTTTGTTATGAAGACTTACGTATTATTTTAGGTCAATTCAACCTGATGGTGTACAAAGATTATAGCTCAATGCGCAAATATTGCATGTTGGCTTGAACTCTATATTTCTACATGAACATTTTTCTTTCAAAAAAATTATGAATTTGTACTAGATTCAAAACTCTGCATCTACTAATTCAAAACATCACAAGCCTCTCCTCTCGAAATAGCGGAGTTCTCAGCTACAAATG